TCAGGTGTGTGTATTTTTTGCCACTTCAATATCTTTTACATAGTTTCATTATACGGTACACATAAGTTATACTTACCTCTAATACAAACCATTCTATATACGTGTTTTTTACCTGTGCATAGGGCTGATCTTGCATCCCTGACATGTTTTTTTCTCTCTTTTCCTCCATTTTCATCAACACACAAAAGATTCAGTAAAAATACAGCAAGGTTTCGTTTAAATAGCTGTGCATTATTTAGAATACCCACAAATATGTTGTAAGTACACATACCACGGATTCTCCTGTCTTTTCAACTAACTAACCAACACCCACCATCGCATGCACGATTCCACACGAATTCCCCAATCCAGATGGCGGCATACTCCATGTTTGTCGCCACCATGGCATTCCACGCCAAAATAAGCGACCCGGCGATCGGAGGGACTTACATGACTCTCCTCAACACGGTATCGAATCTCGCGGGAATGTGGCCGGGAACGCTGTCTCTCTGGCTGGTGGATAACGTGTCGTTCAAGGACTGCGAGGGAGTGACGGACTTCAGCCTCGACTGTGACACAATGCAGGAACTACAGGTGGGTTTAGTATACTGTATACAGTGGAACCCTATTTTTAATCGGGACATCAATGAATGTGTCGACTTTTTTCAGGGGTTGTTAAAAGGTGTCAATATTAGAGAGGTGTCCTTAGATATACGTAGAAAGAGGGTGCAATTGGAGAGGTGTCCTTAGATATACGTAGAAAGAGGGTGCATATTGGAGAGGTGTCCTTAGATATACGTAGAAAGAGGGTGCATATTGGAGAGGTGTCCTTAGATATACGTAGAAAGAGGGTGCATATTGGAGAGGTGTCCTTTATTACATAGAAGAAGGCAAGAATGCAAATTGTTCCCTTTTAGTACAGCCCTTTTATACCACGGGAGGAACGCAGACCGGGGCAGGGAAATTTGCGGAGACCAAGAGAGCGAGAGAGAGAGCTCAGCGCGAACAACCATAGTAAGCGAAAGATCTGAGAAAGATCTCGCCGAGCTCTCCCTGTCTCGGATGCACGCATCGTCTCCAGTCTACGTAACCATACATCGTAAATAGATAACACGCCTCTCCTCTTTACCTCCTCCCCTCTCTCACCCTCCTCTTTCCAGGCTCTGAAGCCGCAGGGGGGTCCAAAAAAACTGCGTCACTCATCTCGACGGCTACTACGTGGAGATCTTGGCTGGCATTGTGATCGGCCTTCTCTGGTACTTCCTCACAAACCGTCGCGTCAAACGCCTTCAAGAACTCGATGAATCGGCTTGGAAATGTTCATAAACTGTACAATACGAACTCCGTAACATTTCTACCCCAATATTCAGGTTCTTACAGTATCATTCATATCACGTCCAATCACCTCCATCATTACGTATAGGTACATTTTGGAAGTAAATAGACACTTTGTATAAATAGGGTTACTTGTTTCAGCGCAATATTATCGTTGCAACTTGCCCTCTCATACCTTTTGTGACATCATTATGACATCATTGTCAACAGATAGTCCTCCATTCTACTGTACTTCAGTTTTGCTGCTAATTTCAAGCTAAAAGTACCACAGTTGAACCAAAGGACATCACTGAGACTGTAAAATTATCTTTTTTGGAGGGCGAAGATGTATGAATCACAAAAAGAGGGTGTAAAGTGAGTTGCTCTGACTTACTTGTCCTAACTTGAACAATGAAATCATAACCTAAAAAACTCTGAAAATGCTACAAATCGGATTTGCACATCAAAGGACAATATTATTGCGGGAGGAAAAGAGCCTACTTAGTTCTTTCTGTTGCACACTCTTTCATTATGTAGACAGTGCTGTATAAATGGTTGAAATTTCACACTTTGGCTCGCCTTGTAATGTGTTGTGTTTGTTGTTCTCAAGTGCTTACTGACTGGGGATAGGAAATCATAATGTCTATAATGGTTTGTGGGTGTTCATCAGTGGATGTAGATGTCAAGTAGGGAGATGGGAGTGCTTGCTTCAGTCACTGGACTGATTCCGCAGATCCTGACTTCAATATCATCAGTGGTGGGACCAGGAAGATCTCTCTGTGTGACCATGTGTTGAAACGAAGCAGCACTGTGTCCCCAGTCCAGAGCACAGGTCGTCCACTCACAAACGGGTTGGTGTCAGATCATCAAATCCTTCTCACGCTGTCCCCTGTCCTTGCCTCCCCATCTCGCAGAAATAGTGGTTTCCCACAAAATCGTTTCTCCCGTGAGATTCACTCTAGAGGTTTCGTATTCAGGGGCACAGGGGCAGTAGAAGATGCCTAGGCTTGCAGCGAAAGACCAAACGTGTGTGCGAGGTGTGTTGCCGTGAGTAACGGACACCCCGGACAGATAGTGACCGTCCACGTCCTGATTCCGTCCCGTTATTGGCCAGAAACCGAATGCTCGCCCACCCTGGTGAGCCACCACCCTCCCACAGACCTTGGTGTAGTTGTAACCAAGTGACGAGAATTGACGGATTTGCACCCACTTTCCGCGAAACTGCGAGAGTAGAAGCGCATCCCGCGAATCGAATTGGGACATGGGAGTTGCTGACGATGGCATGTCCAATTAGATTGCAAGAGGGTGTTGGGTGGTCGACATGTTAAGGCTGGCAATGTGGGTCCACCATTTTCCATCTGCCCCACACTGCTCATGGTCCATATCGCAGAAAACGGTGTAGTTTAGAGCGAGGTTTGTAGGTGGAGGACGAAGGGTGTAGTGTCCTGATGGCAGCTCTAGTTGGTACGCCTGCCCGCAAGACTCAGGCTGGGGTAAACCGGAGTCACGGTCACAGTACACCACCAAACGTACCCCGTCTCGGAGTAACAGAGTGTAGTACTCCGACTGGGCAGTGGGGTGATAGCTGAAGAGGAGACGACATGAAGATACCTCGGGGTAGCCCGTTTCTCTGTTGCAGTAAACTTTCTCTGGGGTGCTACTATTTGACAACTTCAGCCAGTAAAACCCAGAGAAAAGAATCAACCCTGATTCCTTCGCGATCTGCTCGAAATAGAACACTGCAGTTTCCCACTGCACAATGGGGCACTTTGCCAATGTGGTACGCATCGCACGTGATCAACTGCTGCGGTATTCCTGGAAGTCGAGACTGGATCTCTTCGTGAATGAGTTCTCTTGCCGTAGATCTCTGATGGTGTGAGGGACAGGAGGCATTGTTTGCAGACATGTCCAGTTCCACTGTTGAAAACTGAGTCTTGAGAGGGAAAACATCCTTCTTTTCTTCAGCAGCAGACCCCCCTTCACTCTGCACTGCCAGTAGACACACTAGTGCAATACATACTAACGCACAGCAGGAACCTCCTGCAGCCTTACAAGCAGACATTGTGTGCAATACTGGACAGGTCGAGCAATTCACTGTTCTTAAAATGTAGCTACACAACTGTGAATCGCGGCCAAATCTATCTTCTTGGCTGACCCGCTGACCTTGTTTGAGCAAGCCAAAATCTGATTGTAATGCTCTGCCTACAGCTGGTTTTATAGTATATTATAGCCACAGCCCTGTTCATCACATGGCAGCATTGTGTCTATTTTACTCCGCATTCCTGTAGGGCAGACAGACATAGAGGGAGGGAGATAATCAACAAAGAAAGCACAGGAATTTATGACTGCCTGCAGTCAATATGTTATGTGGGTGTAGTGCACGTAGTTTGGACAGCTATAGTGCCAATTTGTCTAATGTTGTCTGCCTGTTTGTTAGTGAATCTACTAATCCTAGTATCAACAGTGAAAATAGAATACAACTATGGTTGCCAAGCCAGAAACAATGGTTTCAATGGACCTTAGCTATATGAAAAACAGAAAGAGCATCTTCATTCCACCATAGCAGCTATATAGCTCCATACTAGCTGCTCTACTCCGTACTATTACCAGTTATTAAAGACACATTTAAGGAAATCTGGCAATGTATAATAATTATAATGGCTAAATTTATAAGCTGTGGTACTAACAATTTTATCCCAATCATCTAGCTGGGCCCTATTGTTTAGTTCAAGAGTGTATATATTAACATTCCTAAATTAAGCCATATTATGTTGTACATTCTCTTATTCATCAATAATATTATTGCTAGTTTTTCAAGTTTTTCAGCCGCTGCAGCCGCTGTGCGTTAATAATAATATATACAAGATTTTTGAAGAAAAGACTGGACAACAAGTAACAGAGAATTGATGAAATGATGAACATAATACAATCAAAAACAGACAATCCAGAGTGAGCAATATAGATAGATACAGACAGTGACAGGAATTTGATTAAGAGTCCTATGGTCTATACAGCGGAACTGAACATGAACAATCTGCAGACATGAGAGAGAGAGAGGAGAGTGCAGTACAATAGTGACGATCATGATTTGAAGTTCGTAGTTCAATGGGGACGGAGAGACTGAGGTTTGTGGTATATAGAGTGTGTGCTGGTAGGTCACACCTCTGGAGGTGATTTCCAGATACGAATCGTCTTATCGCTGAGGGAGGAGGGAGGGAGGAGGGAGGGAGGCAGGGAGAAAGGGAAAGGGGAGAGAAAGAAATGGTGGAAATACGTACATATTATAGAAGAGCTTACATACTTTTGGTTGACTATTGTTGGGCTAAAAAGAAGTAGTTTTTAAAAAGCACATCCTTCGAGCATATTTAGATGGAAAACAGTTTGAAACGGGGCTATATTATATAGAAAAGCATCGGTATGCATACACACTTTCACGTCCACCCACATAGTCTGATGAGAGTATAATACTAGATATTTTTTTACTACAAACCCATTACCGACACTGGAACTGAGACTGCTGTTGGTATCGTATGATCTGGTTGGTTGTGTGCATACTTACCTGGACGCAGTGAATACACATGTGTCGCTGGTTGCAATACTGTTGATGGCATTCTTGTGGGCCGATACCTCACCTGATGAGAGAGAGATGGAGTGTGAGGGGGAGGATATTGAAACCACAAAGTTTACACATATTATTATCGTATGACTTTTACACTTTTTTTTTTTTACAAATTTTCATCAACTGGATGGGGGTACGTAAGTACCTATGTATGTTGGTGCAGGTTCCATATTGAGTTCACTAGTATTGGGATAGGGCTACTGATGTACTGGCATTAGTGCAGGTATGAGGAGTCTTCCCTTGTACCACAGTATATTATCTATGACGTATGTACCTATGTATGTTGGCGCAGGTTCCATATTGAGTTCACTAGTATTGGGATAGGGCTACTGATGTACTGACATTAGTGCAGGTATGAGGAGTCTTCCCTTGTACCACAGTATATTATCTATGACGTATGTACCGATGTTGGCGCAGGTTCCATATTGAGTTCACTAGTATTGGGATAGGGCTACTGTACTGACATTGCACAGTATGGAGCGTATGTACCGATGTTGGCGCAGGTTTCAGGGTTCCACAGTTTGAGGAGTCCTCCCTTGCAGCCGCTGACCAGCAGCGGAGAGAGATGAGAGGAGAGGACACCCAGTGATGTGATGGTCGTCCCCTGAGAGTGAGCTCCGTCTACCGTCTGAAGTTTACGATGATGGAGGGAGAGAAGAGAGAGAGAGAGAGAGAGAGAGAGAGGATACACTACATAGGCTCTGATCACTATAGGATAAGTCACATTCCCTTTTCTTTTTAACCTCAGAGGACAACCTCTCTGAATGAAATGCCTGGTCCAACAATTGGGAGGTTCTGCTGTGTACGGATGAAATGGGCACGCATATACCGTTGGACACATCTTTGAAAAGCCTCTCTGACAGAGAGAGAGAGACAGATAGACAGACAGAGAGAGAGAGAGAGAGAGACAGACAGACAGACAGACAGAGAGGTGACAGGAGGTCAGACTGACCTGTTTGAGTTGTTTTTCGCTCGTGTCCCACTGTTTGAAAGAACAGCCGCAGGCACTGAAGAGGTGGTTGTTGTGAATGGCAAACGAAGAGACTGCGTCGTAGTGTGGAGGATATAGGGTCACTGTTGGGTACTGAGAGGGGGGAGGGGGGAGGAGGGAGATGAGAGAGACAGCAAACAATTTGAGAAGTAGGGCAAAAGAAAGAGAGTAAGAAGTGGAAACCATGTATGGTAGTTGACTTGTTTGCCTTGCCTTGCCTTTCTACCTCGTTACCAAGTTGTTGAGACATGGTTTTTGTGCATGCATTTGGAGGTAAACATGTCCCTGACACACGCGCTCAAAATACGCGTGGCCTACAAGAGTAGGTTCAGGTGTGGGTAAATGATTATAGCAAATCTAAACTCATCAGAAGCGCATTAATATTTACACGTCTTTATTTACCACGCACACATGCACTCTCTCAACTGACGTGAGAAGGAGAAGAGTTGTTATGGGAAGGAGAGGCTCGGGCTGGGCCTTGACGGCGCCCATCTCGTACAACTTGATGAGCCGGTCTCGAGAACCGGTCATGACCTGTTCTTGGTTGGTGGCCAGCGCACACACTGCTCCGTTGTGACCCACCAGCCGACCAACGTTGGAGAACCTTGCAGGAGGGAGAGGGAGAGTGAGGGGAGGGAGATAGTACGCAACGTCGAGGAGAGAGATAGAGACAGAATTACTAAACCAAGGGAAAAAGTGGCTTGTCCCATAACAGGCAATACATCAAAAAAATTATGCGTTGTGGTAGAATTTCCTTTAACATTTCTAGTCTTGCATACAAATGACTCCATGTGCAACATTCTGTGCATGTGACTTCGCGAAAGGCTAATAAACTGCGAAATTCTTTCCCCCCGCAATGTTTCCAGCTCGTGACAGTGAGCAGAGTGTCAGTGGAGGAGAGAGGCTCACTTGCGAAAGTCCCATATGTTGACTACATTTCCAGCTGCAGAGAAGAGAGTGTTGGAAGAGGAGGAGAGGAGGAGATCTTGAACTACCGTATCTCCACCTGGATGACCACTACTGTGAGGTGGACTAGAGGAAGGAGGGAGGGAGGGAGGGAGGGAGGGAGAGGAGGGCGAAAAAGGACATAGAAACAGCGATATGGGAAACAAGAGATGGAGAATAGGTAAAAAAAGTAGAGTGGAAGGGAGGGTAATGGAAGAAGTAAGAGGAACCAGTAGCCAGCTCCAGACTCCAGAGACCTGATTACATATGCTGATCAAGCACATGTACTTAAGACCTCCATTAACATTGTGTATTATATTGAAACACAAGCTCACCCAAATGTCTTGATGCATTTTCCTCTAAAGTTTCTGTGATCCCAAATCTGGAGAGAGAGAGTGACAAAAGACAGAGCACTCGTGTTGGTGTCCAGTGCAGTGTACACACATTCAGTGTGTGGTGGCTATATACTCCTGACGCACACACACACCACACACACCAAGCAAATGGAGAGTGGGAGGACCTGTACACTGTAACACTTTTGGTATGTGTTGATTGACCTCTGGTATAATTGGCGAGCATGGAGTGGCCAGCTAGTCCCTCTATGGACGTGCACTAGGTGGACTAGCGAAGTCGGGTCGAGCATATTTTCTCTACATATTATATATACACACAGTTTGGCCTCTGGTATAATTATACACACAGCAGCAAGTGTATTCACCACCAAGGGAGCATTATTAGTGGGTTTTTTGGTAGTTAGTCTACAGCTTTGTCCACCAGATTAGAAATTACACTCTGGGTAGATTCAGAGCCAAGAGAATGTGTTTCAATTGGCTTAGGAAAATACCACACTGATCCACAAGAGAGAGAGAGAGAGGGAGAGAGAGAGAGAGAGAGAGAGACGATGAGAGAGAGATGACGCGGAGGAGAGAGGAGAGGGAGGATAAGGAGAGAGGAAAATTTGAGCGAGCAGGACACCTTTGATGATGATCTGGCTGGCGGTGTTTTGTGACGTGTGAAGATGAGCCGGTTCCGACTGCAGTAGCGGACGCAGCGGACGTAACTAAAGTGTTGTCAAGCTGTCAGACCCTCGCCCGTCTGGTCAGCGTCCCAAAGCATCTTCACCGTCTCGACGTAGGGTCTAGAATGGACCAGAAGTAACTTATATTAATGTGTCCAAGAAGTTAGTTGTATAATTATTGTCCCAGTTAAAGTCAGATAATGTCCTAGACATTCCATTGTTAATTCGTACGATTGTAAGTAATTATCTTGTCCTCTAATATTGCCCTAAATTGGAAGTCAATATGCACCAAATACTGTCCTACTATGTTCTCAAAATTGTCCCAGTAAAGTCCCAATAAAGTCCCGATACTGTCCCAATAGAGTCCCATTTAAGTCGGCCAACCTTGAGAGCCGCTAAAGAAGAGGTTGTCTGTGGCAAAGACACACAGAACTCCGGCCGAGTGGCCACTGGCAGTGTGGGTACACGTGAGTGGCGGGTCACTGCTCGCGTCTTCTCCGCCTGCAGCTGGCCTCTGGAGTCAGAGAGAAGAGGGAGGGAGGGACACATGTTACTGGATACTTACTAGCTAACGTAGAGTTGCTTTTGCTCACACGTACAATACACGAGTATGCAGTGCCTAGTTGCAGCTCTTTGTGATCATAATTGAGAGCGAGCAAATGTGAGTGCAAAATTTCAGAACTTTTTACATTAGAACGTATAGATTTGTCCGCAATTTGAAGGAGCTCACCAATTACATGCAGGAGAGCATCTGAATAAGGACCATCCACGTGTCTCTATTAAGGACACTTGGTTTTGCCCCATACTGTGCAACATTACTTCCACGATTCTTAATAATGCACGAAAAAACGCCAGCTTCGCTCGCCAGAATTGCGTTGCATTTCTCTAGAAAAGAAACCTGTTATCATTGAGTAGGTTGGTGGAGCCTGCTCTAGTGAGTCGTGACCACACGGACGGTTTCCCGTTGGCCCCCAGCTGGCGAGGGGCGTTGGGGGAGGAGGGAGTGGTGGAGAGGGAGGTCTGTGAAGAGGAGGAGGAGGAAGAGGAGGAGTCCGCTGTGAGGTCTTGAACTGACATCGACATCCTGAGAGAAAGGTGTTGAAATAAACTTAAGTTTAATAAAGAGAGTGCGGCAGTATAATACAAGGGCTACATTTATAATACGGCCCAGTGAAAGAATGGAATTACATTACTGTTTTAGTAACATATGGCTCTATATACTGCTGCCTGTTAGTGCTCACTTGCTGGATTTCTTGAGGGGCCTTCTGCCGTTGTTACTGCTGAGAGATTTGGCCCCTGACCCCTCGCCGTCTGTCTGATGCTCTTCTGCTGTAAAATTTGTAAATTGTTTTATATCCTTCCAAGTTTTTAATGTCCTCTCACCTTCCTCGCGGAGACAGTTGTCATTGGCAGAAGAAGGTCTGGTCATCTTCTTGGGACCAATATTGATCTCACTCGGCAGAAATGTCCGTCGCCTCATCTAAAATTGCGGAAAATGCGATGAAAAAAATGAATGCATTTTTATGTGGCCATTGAAATTTCTCACACGTGCTGTTCCCACGTAGTACGTACATACCTTATGAGTGGTGATACAGAGCATGTTGTGTGGCGCCATTTGTGGAGTACAGCTTGGCCTCTCCATGTTGGGAGGGCCCCCTGAATTTGGGGGGAGGAAGAGAGAGAGAGAGGGGGCCAAGACAGTAAATGTGGAAAATAGGGCCCTAATGTTGTCGTACTTTTAGTAAAAGCGTTAGGGAAAGGACAGACCAACTAAACCATTCTGAATACCTTGACTATACCTGGAGAGTGCAGTGAAAATATAGGGTGGCCTAAATTGCTTGTACTTTTAACAAGCAAGTGGGGGGAAGGACAGGCCAACCAACCATTCTGAATACCTTGACTATAGCTGGAGAGTGCAGTGGAAATAGTTTTAGTGGAATGTTGGGAAAAGTACACGACCAACTAACCACCCTGAACACCCTGAGAAAGATGTAGAGTGTCATACCTTGTGATGAGTTCTCAGACCTAAAGTCGAGAGCCACAGGCACTCCGACACCGCGACCGCCAGCCGATCTGGACTTGGTCACCGTTCTACTGGCTGCCATTAGCGGATGAGAGACCTGGGACAGGGAGGGAGGGAGGGAGGGAGGGAGAGGGAGGAAGAGGGAGGGAGGGAGGGAGGAAGGGAGAGAGGAGAGGAGAAATGAAAAAACGGAAGTACAGAAAAAAGGAGACGGGAAGGAAAGAGAAAACAGTAGGTTTGCAACAATGAAAAACAGAGAAACAACACAGTAGCTTCAAGCAAATGCTAAAATCTATATAAAGTTTAAGTGACTGTATGATAGCTGCAATAACCTGTGGAGAGCTGAAGGATTTCATAAGCTCAGCGTTGTCCTCAGAGGTCCTGAGTCTGGCCTCGAGAGACCGCGCCAGAGAAGACTGCTGCTCCGCTTTCACTCCCTGCAGTAGCGGTGGACACAGGGTTAAATCACAGTGGTGGGAAGAGGGTTAAATCACAGTGGTGGACACAGGGTTAAATCACAGTGGTGGGAAGAGGGCCAAATCACAGTGGTGGACACAGGGTTAAACATCAGTGGAATATGGTCAAATTACAGTTGTGGACAATGACAGAGATGGGCAGAGGGTTAATAAAAACTGTGGACAGAGGGTTAAATTACAGTGGCATTTGAAGAGGAAATTCTTATGGTAATATACTAAAAATAGAAACCACTGCTAAAGATAGACATGACATCATCGTCTCAAATGGACCAACCAGACTGAGAGTCATGGTCATGAGGTGTTCCAGTAGGTACTTGGCATCTCTGGGGGCACACTGTGTGATGATGGCATGGGCCTCCATCGTGTCACTGTCACTCTGGGATCATCAGTAGGGGGAGAGAGGAGAGAGAGGGCAAAGTGGGATGTCTACGCAAGTGGCTTACTAGAAGTTATCAACAGACAAATTATAGGCACACAAAAAGCAAATTTCACCACACTCTGTCCTTGCTTAAAAGGGGAGTCTGGAAACAAAACTTTCTTTGTCTGAAGGGGTCAGAGCCAGAGTGAGCCAACCCTCAATATACAACTCTTTGCCGGTTTGTTCTATAAGGACATATTTGAAGGAAAGCCGGCAAGAGTTGTATATTGAGGGTTGGCCCACTCTGACTCTGACCCCTTCATTTGTGTTAGGTACATAATGTAACTCTCCTGTTTTACCTTGGAGCAATATCTACATACATACGTACATGCATCATAAAGTTGGTACAATACAAGCTAGACTATTCACGTGTTTCACTAGGTATATAATTATGTATGTACCTTGGAGTCATCGACAGCGATTAGCTCATTCTGTAGCTCCACAATGTTGCTCTGAATGTATTCCACGTTGGCCAGTAGAGAGTCCAGGTCCTCCTCTATGCTCTGTAGCTCCTCCGGGTCCTGGGGGGGCAGGGGGAAATTAACACCGAACCCTACAATTTGGACCCCCAGTTTTAGTAATTAATCTCTCACCAACCTCGCAACTCTAAAACTCAAAAGACAGACGTCGTTTCAGTTTACACTAATAGAAAATCCTTACTTCTATTCAAGGTTCCATTACGTCTGTCAGTACATACTAGACAATAGGGCCTGGTGCAAGAATGCAGTTAAGTTTCTATTTTTAGTAACAGTTTCCACATTTAGCTATTACCCAATCTGCCTCATTCCCTTTTAACTATGCATATTCAACCGAGTTTGATTGCTATTTTAACACTGCCAGAAAATGTAAAATTAAGCTCTTTTAAATTACATTTGACATAATTGTAAGGGGAAACGACAGCACTCTCTTTCTCTCCCACCCCCTCTTCCCCTCTCTAAACTAACGGGAGACGATTCCTTCAGAAGGTGCGACCGGTGATAGCGGAGTTCGTCCGCGCGGCGAGACAGCCGGTCCCTCTTCTCGATCCACCGGTCCATGTCCTTGGACAGTGTGGCCACCGTCAGTCTGTTCATTATGGCATCCGTGATCTGAGCAACAAGAGAGAAATATATTATATAGTGGAACACCAATTAAAGATACGTACGTTCACTGTAAGAAAATTGTGCATGGCAGACATTTTCGAAGATTTTAGAAAGCAGTGTGGGGTTAGCGTGGAGTGAAAGAGCAGGAGAAAGGAGTGGAGTATATTTAGCAAGTGGTGCGGAGGGACATGAGTAACAGTGTACTTATAAGTGTCTACAGGATAGCTACGTAGCAAAGAATGGAGAATAAAAAAGAGCAAAGTGAATGTATTTGGTTGAGAGTGAAGGAAGAGAAAAAAGTGAGGGAAGAGAGTTGGAGATAGAACAGCTGCATGCACTATTCACCTTCTTCTCAAAGTTCCTCCATTTCTTCCTGGCGCTGGTTGAGGTGAAGACGGACGACTTGCGATGACTGCTATTCCTCTCAAACTTGGTCGCCAGAGTCTTGACAGACGGGCGGTCCCGAAACACCACCGACGTCGTCTCCGATGACTCCGCCTCCCCAGACACACCCACTCCGCCCGACGCAGAGCTTGAGGGACAAATGAATAGCTACATACGTGTACACTAAAGTGTAAGGAGAGATACGTACATGTAGTAATTTTGGTATCCAGGCCCATACTTCATCATTAAGTCACTTTTGTGTATTTTTAACCTCGTAATCAAGGAAACCACTGTATTATTATGATGGGTGATGATGGATAGAGGTTCCACTGTATATATATACTTACTGTAAGTAGGGATAGGGATGGATTACTTGTATATAATGTATTTGTAGCATAATAGAAGTAAGGAGCTATAACTTCACGTACCTGTGAGACGAGAGAGGGTGTGAGGGGTGGGGATGTGAAGAGGAGGAAGAGGTGGAGGACAGGGAAGAATTACTGGCCGAGTGCCGCATTCTTGTCTGTCTCCGTAGCAACGCCAACTGCACCAGACACACAAACAAACAAGAAATGTGGTTAGCAATTATATGTAAAGCACGTTTGTAATGACAAAGTTTAATTATAGTCAGTTCTCATGAAATATTTAAAGGGGAAACCCTACTTAATGATGTAATGATTACCTCATCAGCTCTCCTCTTCATGATGATGGCTTTCCTCTGTGCGTCGGCCTCCAGAGACTGTATTTTGTGTTCCTTCTTCGTACTCTCTTTCTTCAGTTGTGAGACATGTCTCGTATGCCTCGCCTCCTCCTGTTTCTTACTGCAGAGAGAGAGAGAGAGAGAGATTGGACCACATCCACTACAGACTACACCCACACACCTACATATAGACCACACCCACTACCACAGCAGACTCACCGAGAGGCCTCGGCCCTCATTTGGTTGAGGAGTTTGACTCTTGCCTTCTTCATCTCCAGGAGATCAGCCTTCAGTCTCCTCAGCTCATTCTCATTCTGGGCCTGGGAATGGAAACAACCAAAAACACAAGATCCAGATCAAATGATGCTCCGTCATCCCTATACCCCTTCCTTGAAGAGAACAACTCAGTGGCCTTTTTGTCGTTTTGCGTGCATGCTTTGCCGGCCTTGTGTGCGCACACGAGCGCAGTCAAACGTTCTGGACAGCGGAACACCCCCAATTCAAAATCCTAGACCAGCCACTGTAACTAAAGAGTCTTATATATACAGTGTGTTTGTCTGATGTTCCTTACATTCTTCTTCAGGGCCTTGGAGTGCTCCTTCTTGGCCATTTTCAGTGTCTTCAGTTCTCCCCTCAGCCCTCCCAGCTGCTTCTCATATCTGGCCTTCACGTCTTTACTGCTGACCCCTCCTGACTGAGATCGCTTCGAGGCTGTGTGTGTGTGAGTATGTGTGTTGGGGATGGGGAGGAGATGTGCTTTAGTGTACACAAGCGAAACTACAGTGTGTTAATGAATTGAGTGGACTTTATGCTGTTCAGACGCATGGGTCTGCTAGTATGCACAGGGAGAAACAAATTTTGTATGAATATTATGTATATACGTATGTCTTTTAGTCTGGTCCCATAGCAACCGAGCTCTCCAGGAATGTGTAGAGTACACGCCCACTTACCGATGTCCTTGAGGACTTTGTCTCTCTCAGACTCGATGTTCTTGATTTGGGTCTGGAGCAGTGACATTTTTTCCTCGTACTGCTGCCTCATGACGTGGAGGTTGGTCTGGGCCTTCTCCAGTTGGTCCACCAGCTGCTCCTTTAGGTTGATCTCTGACAGGGGGAGGGGGTTGCAATGAAGGGGGAGGAGGTGGAGGGGGAGGGAATGAGAGAGGAGCAAAGTTGTAGTTAAGGAAAGAAACACACATAACACTCCACATTTCAGGAAAAGAGGGCATGTAAAAACCTTCCCTGGCAGAAGTGTATATTAAAACCATGACCATACATTTGGTATTAACAGTCTCTATATGTATGAATATTGCACATAGTCCTATGCATGTGAGAAAGGTGGTCAATAGCTAGAGCTAAGAAGGGGCTAGAGAGGCAAAGAGGCAGAGAGGCAGTACAAACACACCAGAGGAGAGGTCAGCGAGACTGGAGGCCAGACTTGACTACGCATGTGAGAAATAGTTATGGTCAATAGCTAGAGCTAAGAAGGGGCTAGAGAGGCAAAGAGGCAGAGAGGCAGTACAAACACACCAGAGGAGAGGTCAGCGAGACTGGAGGCCAGACTTGACTACGCATGTGAGAAATAGTTATGGTCAATAGCTAGAGCTAAGAAGGGGGCTAGAGAGGCAAAGAGGCAGTATAAACACACCAGAGGAAAGGTCAGCGAGATTGGAGGTCAGACTTGACTATGCATGTGAGAAATAATTATGGTCAATACATAGCTAGAGCTAACAAGGGCTATAGAGGTAGAGAGGCGATATGTAAAACTCACCGGATGATAGGTCAGCTACGCTGGAGGCCAGACTTGCTGAGTCATCAATCTCCTCCTCACTATCATCGGAACTGTCGCTGCCTTGCACTGTGAGGTCTTCCTCTGATGACTCCTGCAAAATATGGCAGGGGGCGGGCAGGGGAGGGAGAGATATCATAAAGATTGCTGGTTTATACATAATCGAGGCGCCAGAAATTTTTTAAAGTGCTCACATTATAGGGTTTTATTGAGCCCCAGCACAAGAGATGTGTAATTACGCACGGCTTTAATTAATTTTCAATACATCAATGAAACCAGTCTATGAAAAAACTTGTTACAAACCAAGCACGTAAGTGTTAGGTAGACAGTAGAGTAACGGATCAAAAGAAAATCTGAATTCGATTATTTTCTCTATCACACACATGTAGAGCTCCCTTCTTGTCTACTGCTAGTCCGCATAGATTGTTGAACTCCACGGGGCCTTTTCCCTTTCTTCCAAACGACGTAAGATACTCTCCACCGGTTGAGAACACCGATATTCCATGGTTTAACCCCCCACCCACGTACACTACACTTTGGCGGGAGTCAATCGTGATACCGACAGGTTCACTCAGTTCCCCAAACTGCCTCAAGTATACTCCATCCGGTGTAAAGACCTGAATTCTGTGGTTGTAACGATCAGCAACATACACGTCGCCTACTCTGTCAGTAGATAGGCCATAAGGACCGTTGAACTCTCCATCGTTAGAGCCTTTCCTACCAAAACTACTGGAATATGTGAGGTCAGAGTTCAGAATCTGTATTCTGTTATTGTTATAGTCAGCAACATATACTTTGCCAGTGTGAGGATTAACAGTAATGCCTCGTGGGCAACTGAATTGAAGGCACGTACCGACTGCCTTTATATGTAGTCCAGTTGATGAAAACTGCTGAATACGATGATTGTTGCAGTCTGCGACTACAATATGCGCTTCACTGGCTATTGCTACACCAGTAGGCAATTCAAATGACCAGGACCTGAGCCACGCGCACCAAATGATACTTTCTGTCCACTACTACCGATGATTGATACACAGTTTCCACCCAATTCTGCAACCACCACCCCCCCTCCCTCCTGGACAGCTATACCAAACGGCTTATC